TCTGGGCCCCCCCCCCCCCTTTATTTTAACCCAGTGATCCTGCCAGTATCACACCTCCTGTCCGAGGGTGACAATACTTAATCACTGTACAATAGAAAATGAAGGAGCAGCATTGTTATCCCAGGACATGACTACAAAACCTCTCTCCTTTGTTCCATAACATGGGGGGAGGGGGGTTGTAGTCCACAGAGATAGCTGGGAACAATGTGGATTGACAACAAGCAGCAGTTGCAGAGGAGAGCATGGTGAGTTATCAGCTCACAAGATCTTTTGTAGGATCAATAAGTGCTTTGTTACAGTTATCAAACGGATATAGCAAATCATTTCAATGGTATATTTAACAGGCCAAAAGAGCAAACAGAGAAATTAATTGTTAGGGTGGGGTTGGAAAAATTCCAGTCTTCAGTCTGTCCAATCCAGGAGATAGCAGGATTATTTTTAAGGAGCCAGCTCCATTGACAACAACTAGAGAAAACCTTAAAAGTTAGGAGCCAGCTGCCACTTTTAAGGACCATTGGCTACCGGGCTCCTGGGATTTGTCCAGTCTGGGTTAGGTTTACATGCGGTTAAAATACATATTGGAGGCTTTGGCTGTATTTTATCAAAATGGCTGCATGAAACTCACCAGATTGTGAATGTATTGAAACTAACAGATAAGATTAAAATGCAGACTAATCTTAAGTCTTATTGAATTTCTATGTATTGTGAGATATAAAGCTCCAATGTACATATAACTCCACCATCAACATATAAAACTCGTTTTCCATGGAAGATAAACAAAGTATAATAGACTGCTGATTTCAGACTTTTTTCACATCTTTACAGGATGGGTTTAGATATTGCATACTACACAAGAAAACTACTGCTATTGTTGTGTTACAGCCAACCATGACGATTACATCTGTGTTTGTGGATGTGTAGATTGTATTATTTGTCTTTTAGATGGCTGTAAAGAACTAGATTGTAAGGCAGGAAAACTGAGTAGCCTTATGCTGCTGGAGCAAAAATACATGATTTTCACAGGCAGTGATGCGTGACAATAAAACCAGCTTTCCACCATAAACAGATAACCAGAACAATAATAAAATCACTGAGCATTGCAAGTACTTTCCCATGGAAAGTTGACTGTGTAGAGACAGATCTCTGTCAACTGCTTTTCTTGAATACAGATATAATAGTTTGGCTGTTGCAGACTTTTTATGAAAAATAGATTTTGGTGTATTTTCTCATACAATGGAATTTGAAAAAAAAATAGACTGGATTCCTTATCATAAAATATGTTATGCAATAATGAATATCATATTTTTTATTGTTTTCAAAAAAAGAATCAATTTTTCAATGAACATTAGTCATTTCCTTGCCTGTGCACACATGTAACTGTTTATGGTATGCATGTTTGTACTGGAGTGAATAGGGAATGCATACAAAGCAGGGATTGTTTGAAGGTAAGCCATGCTTTCGAATGTTTCATTCCAGTCAAATATATCCAATGTGTTCTGCAGATTTCCACACAACATAACAAAGACATAATTTGTACTTGCTCTTTTTTTTTTAGCAGTTTGCTATTTTTATTCTGTGGTTGATAACTTTCTTCTTCTGCATATCATATTTAATAATATTGTTTGCTACTAAGGCTTCATGATCCCCTTTTCTCTTTGGTCACCCACTAGCGTTTGGCACAAATGTCATCACTGCGCGCATGCAGAACACAACTATGTGGCCACTGGTGTTTGAATTACCATTAGTTGAAAAAGTGTACATAAAAAAAAAAAGAATTGGAGCAGTTAGCTTTCTGGCAGTACAAGCAGTGCCAGATATCTGCAAAAATAACATAGGTCGCGGTTTTGGGTGGCAGGGCAGGCAGGGGCAGTATAGAGCTACTTGCCATTTTTGTTGCTGTTAGTAACTCATTCCTGTGTATAATGAAAGGTTCTAGACTGCTGCTTGCCAGCGCAAACAAGCTTGGTCCCCATTGTTGCTATCCATTTGGACATAGAGTGTCCAAAGTGTATCAATGTCTTCACCCCCCTTAAGAGTGCATTGTATGACTGTTAAGTCTGATATAATGAGTATTATTCTAAGACTAGCCTGTTGAATTAAAGGAGAAAGGTGAAAATCACTCATCCTCATAGTTCGAGCCAACGTTTGACAATGAAACTGTGACACGTCGGCGCAATAGATCAGGAAGTGAGCGAACACATACCGTTGCTCGCTCACTTCTCGATCATCTCCCTGCAGAGAGCGCTGACTGAAGGAACAGACGGGAGAGGGGGCGGGTACATCTGGCTCTCCCTCTACATAGGCATAGCCCGCTGTCACTCACGCAGCTGGGTGGATCTCGACAGTGATGTTGGGATCTGTCCCGGCTGTGGTGGTCTCAGTATACCGCGAGCTGTAGCTTGCGATATACTGAGCTTTGGGTCATGGGAGGATGCTAGTATATGTCCTCCCGTGACCCTTAAGAGAACTACGGGGAAAAACACTTACCTCCATAGTTCTCTTTTAAGTAGGAAGGTGTGGCACAATACAATTGGTCACTGGGAACAGGAAGTATAAATCTGGCATTGAATATATAAGATACTAACAACCAAAAACTTCTGCAGGCCACTCTTAAGGGAATAACATTTTTGTACTGGAAAATGTTGTACAATTCCCTTTCTGTTCAGAAGAGTGGTCACCACATATTTCAGTTTAAATGTTGTTTGTCAAACATGTATTTAAAAGTGGGGCAAATAGTTAATTATATTAAAGGCAAAACGTTTTAAAACTATTTCAAATTCTGATTAAATTACATACAATGGATGCTGATCCTTTATTACAGAATCAGCTGGTCCCCTGAGCACTGGGCCTCATATTCTGTTATAGGGTGATCCCTTTCCCTTGCAGGGTCCTATGGAGCCACTCTTGTGTGTGCTTGTAAGCTTTGAGTGTCTCCCCAAACATACATGCACAGCAAGGCAAGTCACTTTGTTTCCCCTTCCTCCTTCACCATCCTCCTTTCTCAAAGCCATTAGATGGGCAGCTGCTTTGTCCCGTGTGATCTTGTACTTGACAGGAAGTTCTGGGAAGTGGAGCTGGGAGAGTTAAAGCCAGCTGGAAGGAAACATCATGACTGTAATTGCTTGGGCTAAAATGTACAGGAATACTTTACGGGACAATGTATATTTGTTTGGTCTGGATTCATTATTTAAAAAAAGTTTGAGAGTTTAATACTATTTTAATGGTTTCAGCATATTATCAAATTTTCTTAGGCATGGATTAACCAAGTATCATTTGCAACAGTTACAGGTCATTAATAAGGTCTTCCAGTTTTCAGAACAAATGGTATTGCTCAAGTGATGTTGAAATATTATTGAAACCAATAGCAGAATATTCTCTTTTATGTAAAAAACAAAAGGAATGAACAGTGCTGCATTTGTTTGAATCAGGATCAAGATCGTGCAAAGACCTGAAGGTACATGTCATCCAAGAACCGGCAGATGTCACAGGCAGAGGACATGCAGGGTCCCCTTTGCCAATTTTCCGGTGCTGCCTGGTCCTAGGTGATGCAGAGACTGGCATTGACACAAAAATTCATTGTATGTGACTGCTGGACTCCATAGAGATGCCTGCTGATTGGATGGGTCCATGATCCCTTCACTTACATCAGTCCACAAAGTGGAAAGCTGAGGACACCTAGTGGCAGAAAGGACTGTGGTAGACAGTACCTTAGAGAAGGTGGGTATTGCAGCCCGAGCATTGCTCATTTTGGAACTTAAAAAATGGTTGATGAGATAACATATGTGTAAATGTCTTCCTGTGAGATTTGCTGTTTTAAGAGCTCCTTGTAAACCCTAACTCTAAGGCTGGGTTCACACCTAGACGTATCGAATATGCGCGTTTGCCACACGTTTCGTGCCGCACGTTTTTACCGCAATTCGCGGTAAAAAACACGCGACAAAATAAAATTGTTGTTATTAGGTTTATATACCCTTTAAGGCTGTAAACTGTATAAAATCTCTGACTACTCCCGCACTGCAAGAATTAAGTGCTTGTTATAGTCAAGTGGCTAATATAAGAAAGTCGTACTCACCTGATCCTCGGTCCTGCTTGGCTGCTAGACCAGTCCCCCATAGCATCTTGTCCCTGTCTGTCCCAGCGGTCTAAGGACCCATGAGTCATCACATCTAATGCAGTTTATTAGACGTGAGGATGCCGAGAGACATTTCACCACCAAAGCATAGGGGGAGAGAGGTGAGTAGTCTCTGCCACAGGATTGAGCTTCGAGTGAGTATATCTTCTTTATTCAGTCCCCTAGAGAAAAATGAGCAGTTACCCTTGCAATGCGGGTTAGCCGCAGTGCAAGGATTCATTTTTATTCTGCCCGTGGTTCTTCAATAAGTTATTTATTCACAAAATCCAGACTTGCCATCAGAACCTGGTCACAGAAATATATCAGTAACATGGCCTAATAGTACTGCACAGTTTGTAATATTTCCGATCCGTCGGAGGATAGGAAATTGCTTTTAAATCACTTTACGTCCACTTTATGAGATACATGTTTTTGCTCTGTTTGGTTTACAAAATAATATTGTTCTCTATGTTTCTTTGGTTTATGGCCCAGGGTTCCTAAGGTCACTCCTATTCTATAAACACATAACACACGTAACTTTTGAATTTTTTGAAGGCTAAGTTTTTTTTAAATCTGATTTTTTTTCACTTTTTTTTATGATGTTTGTTAAAAGGGATTAAAAGTTAATGCTATCATAGGCAAAAGATAGTAAGGTATACAGTAGACTGTATACAAGTATATATTTTCTATGGATATTGCCACAAGTCCAGTGGTGCCGCCCCACTTGTTGCCCATGTGCCCGTGTGTGCTGATTATTAGAAATATAAAAAATGACTAGGTATTTCCATTCTGCAAAAGCCATCACTGATAAACAGAACTAAGTATAACCCCTTAATGATCCATGACGGGATAATCCCATCATGCAGTCTGAAGGGGTTAAACAGACTTCCGGCGGCCGGCTTCACAGTAGAAGCGATTCTGGCAGCTCGGCTGCCGCCAGATCGCTTGTAGGATCCGGTAACCAGGCCACCCCCCCTCGCCGACACCTCCACCGTGTTTCTTGGGCTTCGCTGTTGCTCCTACGGGCCCAGGACCGGCTTGCTGGGTGTCGGCGGGAAGCTGGGGAGGAGATCGGTGATCATCTGTTCACCGATCTCCTCCCTGTTCTATGGAACCAGAAGCAACACGCATCCCGCATAAGCTATTAAAGTGTGATCTGAACTTGAATAGCTTATATGGAGTGTAATGGTGATACTAGGGGTCTTTTGCACCCCCAGTATCACCTTAAAGAGGACCTGTCACCACCAATATGCTTGCAAGCCCACCTATGTGATAGCAATTAAAGTTAAAAAAAAACAGTTTTGAAAATAATATTAAATAAATTAAATGTAAAAGTAATTTAAACATTTTTAAAGTCCCCCACCCCTGTGAGCAAGCATATCATCACGTAAACGCACGTCGGGTGTGCCTAAGTGCGAAAACAACGATTGTGCTACACATGTTGGGCATCGCCACACACGCCAGAGTGAGAGCAATAATTTTAGGGGCAATATGTACATGTATCTCTAAACTGATGACCTGTAGGGGCTTTTAAAGCGTTGTCTATGGACTTTTTGGGGGTACTGAATTCTGTCGCAGTTTCATGGACACACACAATTTTTAACCTGGGCATGCTGAGTATCTATATACTCGTTGTAACCTCATCTTTTATATTTAAAAAACAGTTTTATATAATGTTTTGGGGAACTAAATGTAACTAAATGTTTGGGTTTGATAATAAGTTGTGCTAATATCGTGCAACATAAACATTTGCAACTGCCAACATTTTATTCTATAGGGTCTTGGCTGTCAGAAAATATATAATGTTTGGGGGTTTTAAGTAATTTTTTAGGCCTAAAATGTGGATTATAAATTACATAACTACAAAACTAGCACAAGTCTCTTTAGACAAAACCATGTGCAGTCATGCATAGTATCTCACTCTGTGCGCCTGTTGTTTTTACAGAGTGAGTTTTAAAGCACATATGAAGTTATTTCTGTCAAGAGGGCAAATACCAAATGGCAAATGCTACTTCACCTGCACTTTGCACTTGTGTGCGTTATTCCTGTGTTATTATAAGAATTTTCAATCTTTTTTTTTAAATAATGAATCCAGATAAACATATACATTGCCAAGCAAAGTATTTATACACATTTTTGCCCAAGCACTTACAGTCATTATGTTTCCAGACAGATGGCTCCAACCTTCCGCTTCCCTTAACTAACTATCCAGTACAAGATCACAAGGGACAGAACAGTCTCTACCATCTGTCCATCTGCTAGCTTTAAGAAGGGATGACTGGGGGTGGCTTGCCTTGCCATGCTTGTGTGTTTGTTGAGGCACACACAGGTTACTAGCACACAAGGGTGGCTCCTTAGGAACCTCACAAGGGAAAGAAGCCATCCTGAAACTCAGACCAGTTGATTGTGCAGGAAACTAACAGGGTTATTCACTAAAGGGTGAAGAGTTTTGAGAAGACAGGAGAAGTGAACAGTCTAGGACAACATAGCATGAACTGGAAAGTGAGCTGAATTGGAGAATTTTTCCAAATCGGCTATGTTGTCCTAAATTGTTCACTTACCCTGCCTCCTCCAAACTCTTCACTCTTTTATGAATAACCCTGTAAAACTTTGAAACAGCAAGGAGCAGCATCCATTGTGAGTGATTTAATCAGAATTTGAAATAACTTAAAAGCATTTTGACATTGATAGCACTTTAAAGGGCAGGTTTATTTTTAATGTAAAACCTGCTAGCTCACCCTCTCCAGACCCCTAATATATTCTACACATACACATACATCCTGGTGGTCACTAACCTCTCTGTAATCTCACCCGCCCACTTCATTGTAACATCTTTTGGCCTGAAGTCTTTTCTGGTGCTGGCTGTGTCTGCACAGTGATTTCACACAGACATTAATGGGGCCATACTCCAACACTTGAGATGGTACAGTTCCAGTTATGTCTATGGTAGTTACATTGCAGGTGTGATTAGTGTCAGTGAAGATTTTTGGCCTTAGGATGTAAATACTAGGAGAGGCTGCAGTTCTCACAGAGAGGTAAGTAGGCAGGCACTATTAGCACTGTTAAACATTTCAAGCCTGAGGATGTAAACACTGAGGGAGGCTGCTGCTGTCACAAATAGGTATGTGCCAGGTGAGTTCAGAGCCAGTAAGGATTTTGGGGCTAAGGATGTAAACTCTGGGGGAGACTGAAGCAGCCATAAAGGGGTAAATAATTACCTGGGTGGGTGTTTTAGGTTACTGTAGGTTAGGTTAAGTGGCTGTCGAGTGTGGGACTCTGGGTTTTAAATGAAAAGAGGACCTTTCATTTAGAAACTGAATGCACATATAAATGCATATTATTAAAGGGTATGTAAACCAGAAAAAAACATGTCTTAGCTTTGGTAGCTTTGGAAAGGTTAGGGAAGATGTTAAACCGCAATCTTTTTTTTTTTGCAGTCAGTGTCCTGCTAGGAAGATTCCCTTCACTTCCTGTCAGGAAGATGCAACAGGAAGTGAGAGGAAAACTTCCCAAAGTTGGGGGAATGTTAGACAATTGTCACCCGAAGGTTTTCTCAATTGGAAGATTTGCGTTTACCTCTTGCTCTCATGACAACTCTAAAATTGAAGATGTCTCCTTATTTTCTGTCTTGCTGACAATGGTTATCAGGACAAATAGAGGGGTGGATCTCCCCAGCGGAGACACAGACTGCAAAACTAAAAAAAATGTTTTCTTATACATACTTTGATCATGAGAAATATAAGAATAATCTCTTGACAATGGATTTTCTCACATATTCCATGTCTTATATAACTTAGCACATCAGGATCATTGTAAGCAGATGGTTGATCACTGCATATTATTTGATGTATGTGTAGTAAACATTTTTGTTTTTTTCTGCTGAAACCATCTGCTACATTGTATTTATGCCAGCAAAAATTTGCCAACAGGGTGGGTCAGTAACTGATTGCATTGAGTAGGCTAGTAATTCTTTGGCCAGTCTCTGAGTTGATCATTGGAATGTGTTCCTCTCGAGACAAAGTCACAAAATTCCAAGGTTCTTTGTATTACATTCAGTAAGAACTGAAGGATGTTCTCTTTCAGAAAGCTTTTAATGTGTTAATTATGTATATTGAACAGATTATCCATAATTATGTGAAGATGGATTTCTGTTGTTTATCAGGGGTCTAAAATGTTTGTAAAACTTTTTAAACTCAGGTAAATATATATTTTTTTTAAAACAATAACTGCCTAATAGTGATGAGCAAACTAATTCAGGATTTGACCTGGATCTTGCCTCCTCTCCCATATTGCTATGCTTTCCTCCCCTGTTTCTGCTAGACTTCACTACTACAACCACTTCTCTCTGTCATGAACAACCATCATTTATCACACTAAGGCCCCGTTCACACCAGGGCAGTTCGGCCGCACGAATTTGGCCGCGCTGAATCACCGACATGAACGATCCCATACATTGATATGGGGACCGTTCATGCGACTGTGCAGCTCTGCACCATCCGAACCGCCTGCCTCCCGAAATGCTGCCTGACCCTTTTTTTCCGTGCTGATTAGCGCGGTTTCCATATAGATTTCAATGACACCATGCTGATCAGCATGATTTTGGACG